CAATCATCTAGAATCCACCAGAATGACTACTAGGCTGACTTAATTATTAGGATGTTTGGCAGATTTGCTTAAGTTGATTTGACCCAATTGTGAAAAAACTCGAGGCGTTCGAACACAGGGTTGCACCGGTAAGAACAAGCTACCCCTCCGACGGATGTACTTTGCAAGCGAAGGGGGTAATTAACGGCCAGCTCACGTGTACAATTGACGTCAGTGCTTTAATAGTTGCCCAGTGGGTGCGACAGCCATCGCAGCATAACAGGGGCGATGGCATACCTTAGCCGCCTTGCAAAAAAACCATGCACGCTCCTAGTTTTCGGAAGACACGAAGACGAAAGTGCTCGGAACGCCAGCAAGCCCAGGTGACTGCCTAAAAAACATTACTCCAACTAACATGGGAAGAGAAAAAGGCGATAGAGGATAGAAGCCGCCTGAATGTGAAACATAAAAAACAGCAAAACCGGCGGACTCACCGAGACATCTGAGGTACACAGACATCGGCATGATATCTAGTTCCTTTGACATACGCAGAATCAAGGAGAGACAGGCTACAATTGCCTGTTGACAGTCATTCGAACCAGTCGTCGCGGACTCCTTCAAGGGGGAAAAAAGTGGACTGATAGCACTGGCAGCATTCAGAAATGTGCAACTGACTCTCAGTGGACCATGTCAACTTACACGTAGTCCCTTGGAGAGCTTAAACTGCTCCTCAAGCTGATTACGCTGCTCGCGAAGTCGCTCCATCAGGACCGATGTTCCGGCTTCTCGTAGTTGCGACACCAACTGTATGGTCGAACAGCTGGCCAGGGAGAACAGGTAAAAATCTCCATCGTCGCCCTCCACGTCGGCAGTCCCCCTTGCTTTCAGCAATCTGTCCGCTAGAGGATACAGTCTCAGTTTTCCCAAAGTGAGACACTCGTGTGCGAGATAAATGCAGTCATCGTAATAGACGGCTAAAATAAGTAGGTAAACAAAAAGGAAATAGAAACATTGCATGGCCATTATAATTGCTCCGCAAAGCCAGGCAGTTTAAAAATATTGGTGGGGATTTAGCGTGAGGCCGCTTGAGAAGAAGTATTCATAATAACGATAATAACTACTTGCTAATTTTCAATGGGTTGAATTTACGCCTATTCAAACTCTTATTGGGTTATATTAGCCAATAGGAATAGTTCTAATAGTTTTCTTGGTCTACAGGCTTCCCATTGATCCCTTCTTTGTTCTTTAAGCAACCTTTTCATCCACGCTTTGGTTCAGTAAAACAATTGACAGCGGATTTCATGGCTTGTCCACCCCAACGTACTTATGAGGTTCTGACCTTTCTGGAAAATTCCTGGCCTATGGCGTGTGACGAACGCTCTGGCCTGGTGTGCTGACATGGAAAAGAACTCGGGCCACCTGCGTGGCAGGCGAGAATTCTACCACTGAGCACCCATCACACGCCGTAAGCCAGGCATTTTCCAGAG